TTCACTCCAGGGACAAACCTTGGATGGCAGGAGGTTGATTTCCACAATGTAGAGCCCGGCCATGCGTGACACCGCAATGCCGACCGTCTTCTCCACCACGAACAGACATCCAGGGACCACAAACCACTTCCAGAAGTTCGGACCGTGGAGGACTAACAGCGCCCAGACGGAGATGTAGGACAGATGGGTCCAGTAGAAGACCTGCAGGTCGCAAGAAGAACAGACCACTGGAGACCCTGGCTGCTCGTCATTAGCAACGAACAGTCAGCGCGACTAAAGCGTACAGGGGTGGCAAAAGGCACAGCCCCACTGGGGCTGTAAGTCAGCTAAAGTACCACTTGTTTTCCATCCTTTCTAGGCGCCAGGTACAATAAACTCCAGCGCGGCTTCCCAGCCCAGCCAACAAAAGCCGCAGACAGGTGGGAAAAACTAGCCATGCTTAGCAGCAAGGGGCTGGATCCGGCTCAAAGGTCTACTGGTGTAAACGTGGAAATTCTAGTGACTTCAGAGTTGCCTCTCCTGACCACACAAGGGTCACTGAGGTCCGAACCTGCCCCAGGAGGTCCCTGAGATGAATGGAGTGACTGTGGATTTACACAGGTGTAACGGAGCGGAATTTCATAGAATCAGAGCACACTAGACATGGAAGAGACCTTGAGAGGTCAATAAGTCCAGTCCTCTGCCCTCACGGCAGGACCAAGCACCATCTAGATCATCCATGACAGGTGTCTGTCCAACCAGCTCCTAAATATCTCCGGAGATGGGGATTACACAACCTCCCTAGGCAATTTATTCCAGTGTTTTACCACACTGACAGGTAGGAAGTTTCCTAATGTCCAACCTACATCTCCCTTGCTACAATATAAGCCCATTGCTACTTGGCCTATCCTCAGAGGTCAAGGAGAAGAATTTTTCTCCCTCCTCCTCATAATAGCTATTTCAGAATACACGCTACTCCTTGTGGAAAGAGGTTTGCAGAAGTCGAAATAAGCCATCCGTTATTTCAAATTTATTTTGAAGTAATGGAATTGCTGTGTAGACTCGCTTTGTTATTCTGAAGTAATGCCACCGTGTAGATGCACCCCTAATCATTTTTGTTGCTCTTCTCTGGGCCCTCTCCAGTTTCTCCACATCTTTCTTGAAATGCGGTGCCCAGAACTGGACACAATACTCTGAGGCCTAATCAGCGCAGAGCAGAGCAGAATAATGCACTGCTCATACGTACAGTATGATGGGGGCTAATTTGGCTACGACAAATCAGGAAAGAGATCTTGGAGTTATCGTGGACAATTCTCTGAAAACTTCCACACAAAGTGCAGTGGCGGTCAAAAAGGCAAATAGGATGCTAGGAATTATTAGGAAAGGGATAGAAAATAAGACCCAGAATATCTTACTGCCCCTGTATAAAATTATGGTACGCCCACATCTTGAATACTGTGTACAGGTGTGGTCTCCTTACCTCAAAAAAGATATTTTGGCCTTGGAAAGGGTTCAGAAAAGGGCAACTAAAATGATGAGGGGTTTGGAACGGGTCCCATATGAAGAAAGGCTAAAGAGACTAGGACTTTTCAGTTTAGAATAGAGGAGACTGAGGGGGGATATGATAGAGGTCTATAAAATCATGAGTGGTGTGGACAGGGTGAATAAAGAAAAGTTATTTATTAGTTCCCATAATAGAAGAACTAGAGGACACAAAATGAAATTAATGGGTAGCAGGCTTAAAACTAATAAAAGAAAGTTCTTCTTCACACAGTGCATAGTCAACCTGTGGAACTCCTTGCCAGAGGAGGCTGTGAGGGCTAGGACTATAATAGAGTTTAAAGAGAAGCTAGATAATTTCATGGAGGTTAGGTCCATAAAAGGCTATTAGCCAGGGGATAAAATGGTGTCCTTGGCCTCTGTTTGTCAGAGGCTGGAAAGAGATGGCAGGAGACAAATCGCTTGATCATTGTCTTCGGTCCACCCCCTCCGGGGCACCTGGTGCTGTCCACTGTCGGTAGACAGGCTACTGGGCTAGATGGACCTTTGGTCTGACCCAGTACGGCCGTTCTTATGTTCTTAATGACTTCCTGTGTCTTGCTCACAACACTCCTGTTAATGCCACCCAGAATCATGTTTGCTTTTTTGGCAACAGTGTCAAGTCTCAGGGTATGTCTACACTACAGAGTGAGTTACGTCCACACTGCAATTGCGTTCTTTCAAAAAAAAAAATCAAAAGAACCGAGGGGTTTTTCTGACATTGGTCATCCTCACTCTACAAGGAAGAACCCTTTTTCTGAAAGAGCTCTTTCGCAAAAAGGCGTGTGTGGACAGGGAAGGGGGTGTTCTTTCGAAAGAAGAGGAAAGAGGAACACCCCAAGTTGCTGGATGCGGGTTTCCAACATGGCCGCAGGAGGGGTGGAATTCCCTGAGTTTGTTTGACTGGCCGGGTTTTATTTCCGACCCCATGGAAGTGCGTTGTTCCCTGCCCACTCCCGGCCCTTGTGAGAAGGTTTTTCCGGCTGCCTTTAGTTTCCACCCAGCGGTTTGGCTGCATGGGATTCGGGTCGCAGGCCCTCTCCGCTCTGCTGCGACGGGAACCGCCGTGGAAGGAAATGCATGAAAATGGCCCCAGCGGGATGGGGTGGGGGAGGCCCCAGAGCCTGCAGGACTGCGCTGTAACGAAGGCAGAACTGGCCTCCTGCGGGGCGCCGCTGGGGAG